AAAAAAAAAAAAAAAAGAAAAAAGAAAGAATGGAGTACTTACAATTTACTGAGAGCGTGCAGCAAAATCGATATTCAGCTTCGAAACGATTTGGTGCACAGTTCAGTCGGTTAATATAAAATCCATCAAAAGAAACACTTGGTCTTGATATCACCGAAAAAAGTTAACTTACTCATTTAACACTAGAATTACCACCGACTAAAGTGCATAACTTGCACCACAGAGATCAAAGTTTATTATCTTAAGTTTATAAGAGATTAAGTTTATTATTATAATAAAATCCACCAATCTTTCTAAAAAATTACCAACTATTCATTTTGATCAATTAAATGTGACGTTGAATCCCTTCCTTCCGGAATGTCTCCCTTCTCGAGGGACCACGTTCACAAATGCGCGCAAACAGGTGCTCGTCCGGAATGGCGAACATCGAATGTCACATATCGAAATGACGTCGCGCGTCCTTTTTCCGCCGCTTTTGTTTGTTATCAGGGCTCGCGAGCAAACCGGGCGGAGAATCGCTCTCGGCCACGAGGAGGCAAGAAAACGCGAAACGGACGAGATTACCCGAGATATCTCGTTATTCTCGTTCGACCGCGATCGTTCGCTGCAGCGCGGTTCGTTCCGTTGCGTTTCGCCGCCAGTTTGTCGAACACGATCGATCGACCCTTGGCTTTCCTCGTCGCGGATTTCTATTATGTCTGGTACTACATGCTGGGACTAACTGTTCCGTTGCTTGCACCAACGCGCGAACTTCGAGTGCGACAGTGTGGTGAAATTGGCGACTTTTTTTCAGCGGTTTTGCGTCGTCAATCGCAATCCGGGATGTGCATCGACGGAGCTTCACGCTCGAATCACAGCCTTGCCAATGTCGTCGACGTTGGACGACGTTGCTTCGCTTCTTGTTCGATGGGATGACGATTCCCCTTAGCGGTTAATTAGACGTAATTTAGAGTTTAGAATTAAGGGAAGGATTCAGCCTAAAAATGGAAACACCCATATCGCTCGAAATGGTGATACGAATGATGGACTCTTGAGTGATTATTCTTCTTTCGAGGGATGTCTCTTTTACTCTTTCTAACATAAATAAGTTAACTCTTTGTGGCAGAAATTTTTGTAGCAAAAGAAGATCCGGATCACGTGGAAAGTTTATCTTAAGATAGAATTATTGGATACAAAGTTAGAAAACAGATTAATAATAATAAATAACAGGGGAGATCCCTAATCTAAGGAACTGATTGAGCACAGACATACCATAGATGT